CCCCGCCCAGAAAGCGATGAGTTCGACTGACACTTCAATCTGGGAGGTGTCCTCTCGATGGAATTCTTAGTTACGGGTCCTGTTGAAGTATTCATCCACTCTATTTTACCTCACGGGGCCTCTTCAGATTGCACCGTTGCTGTCCTTTCCATCCCTCTCTACTCTGATGTTTTCAGTATCGCGGTGCCGTATTTTGTCCAGCCGGGAAAAGAACTTTCTCCCTTCTCGGAGAAAAGTTCTCCCGGCTGGACAAAATACGGCACCGCGTTATCGAGCATTTCCTACGAGGCGGACAGTTCCTTGTTCTCTTCCTTTGCTACAGCAACTTTGGCGGGTCTCTTGCAACTTCTCTAGACAGCTAGGTTTTCTAAAAATCGCNTCTTCTGCTAGCGCTTGTGGGCGTCCCTTCTGTTTTGTAGCTCGATCCGGCGTTCAGTGTCCCAATCCTAACTGAATTCTTCGATCGATTATTTCTCGGCACTCTTGGACAGGTGTCCTATGCGTCACATCACGGGACGTCTCGGCTTAGTTCCGATTCCCTCAGAGACTTTGTGCGTGACTGTTGTAGCAAGATTCCTCCATTAGCCGGCCGGTCAACCTGGGTCTGACGCAGTACCGACACCATTTTTGTAATTTTTGCAAGCTGTAGTACTTTTTGCCTCGGCAGGGAACGTACTCATGATTTTTCTAAGTGCAGACTGAGCCTACAATCCTAAGCCCTCGACTATCCCTGTCCTCCCATCTTGCTGCCTATACCCCTCCCGGATTTGCTCTAGCCCGCGGGTATAAATTTCGAATCACCTGCCGAAGTGTTCTCTTGTTGCCTTACATATCCCTCACAAATTTGAACACTAAGCTTTGAAATTTGAAAAGCTTCGAAAGCTTTGCAATAACAGCTCTTGCGCACGCCCTACGTCCAGCGAGCGGATTTTCATCTGCCACTTGCCATCATTGTCTTGAATCTGCCACGTACTATCAGGATTCTCATTCTTTCATCTGTTCCCTGTCAAATTTTAACAATCTAGGTTCATGGAAACAGGACTTATAGATTTGAACGCCGGGAAAGGCAGGGATAGCCGGGCGGTCAAGAATGTGGGCTCACGTCGCTTTCAGCAAGAATACGAGTGTCGTCGTTTGTTTGCGCTTCCGCCCACCTCAATGAAACCTCGTCCAGTTTCGAGTTTGGCAACTCTTGCTTCAGTAACCTCCCAACAAATTTTCAGATTCTAAAATCTTTTTACCCATAGATATGATTTTTATGTGGAACCTTCTGTAAAAAACACTTTTGAGAGCACCTTCCCACCAACGTAGGCAGAGCTTTGCTGAGGTACCCTTGCATAGTACATCTGAGATCTTGCTAAGTCCAAAAACATTTTCTGACCTGTAGCCCTCGGTGGAAGCGAGTTATTAATTCATGTACTCAGAATTTACCGCCTATTTTGAAAACGCGTCACCCTCCGCTCGCTTCTCCAGGTGACCGGGCTTTTCTGAAGCCATGATAAGCAATTTCGCCTGGGCATCACCCATTTCAATGCATGTCCTGCATCTGATATCTTCTATCCCAACCAGCGTGTTGCGCTCGCCGCACTCAGTCACGCGCTATGAAGGGGACGTTTTGAATTCCCAGTGGAAGTACACGGCAGTCGCCGCGGAAACACTGCCGTTGACCGTGAGAATTTGGGAGGGTTCAGCCACCCGCATGTCCTTCCCACGTGAGCAGGGCTTCGCTTAGATCATACGTGCTCTAGTGATCTTGCCATAGGATCCAGCCGTTCCAAACTCGACCCCATCACTCCACGTGCTCCTTCAAGCAATATCGAATTTCGTTACACAGATTTAGACGTACAGGCAGACAACCAAACAAAGGGGGACGCCGAATTCGGTTCACATTCATTAAGGATAACTGATGCAACTGTTTTAAGATCATTTATGTGTTTAGTGTGGGTAATTGAGCATTCGGTCTTTTTAAAAGCATCGAAAGATCATGGTGGGTTTCCGTCCTTCTTATGACAGTGTTGTGATAATTTAGCATACCGGCCGCTCCCTATTTGGAACAAAGGATACTTTTCATAACACGAAATTTGACAAAGGATTAACAGGGCATGCACATGGTATTCAAGATGCGCCGATGCATATGATCAGAAGTCTCGATCTGTCGCTCTTCATCTTAAAAACAATGACATGAATGTTCGACTGATAGGCAACCAAAGCCATGAATGGTACTCACAAATGTTGTCGAGTGATAATAACACACCTACCAAATGTTTTTATCAATAAACCCTCCTTTTCTTTGCGAATATATCATTAGATGAGAATCCAAGATTGATAGCGGTCGGATAACTTTTGCCAAGAATTATATTGAAGCGAAGAGAGACCGTGATCCTCCATTAATTCACATTTTTCACTGAGTAGCGGTCGTAATCTAATAACAAGGAATGGACCTGTTTCCTCTCCTTATGATTTAGTACCTTCAATCGCTTCCTATCACTGCACTTGCCTTCCTTGTCGATTGAGTACATATCAAGCAGTTAGAATACAAGGTGGCTGAAAAGTATAGGCGTCGTTTGACACTTGCTGGCACCAGTGGGTATTTTCAGAATCTTGTGGGACTTTTAGAAAGCTTGGGATCTGTACGAGAATCCATATGAGTCATTCGATTGACCGTTCGCCCGAACAGTCGCTACGAAAGTTTCTGCGCATCGACCCACTATCGAGAAGCTGCTCAGAGAAGGTTTCAAGAGCTGTGACATTGCGAAACGACTCGGTGTTCCCTCTCCCACCGTACGGAATGTTGCCGCTGCTCTCAGAAATCGAGGAGGAGCCTCTGCGATGCCAAAAAGGGGACGACCGAGAACAGTGAACACACCGAGGATTCGTGACACCACCAGGAAGAGGACCATCCGCAACCATGGAGTCAACATGAATCGGATTGCTTCTGACCTCAACATCAGCCGTCAAACCATCCAGAAAATTGCGAAACGTGACCTCAAGCTGAACAATTATCTGCCCCACCGAGGACAGTTTCTTTCAGAGCAGTCCAAGCAAAGTCGACAGATAAGATGCAAAAAACTTTTTCGAGAGCTT